GTCTCCCTCTCAGCCCCCTTGGGCAGCGCTCCTCCCTCGTGACCAGGGCTTCAGCTGATCCAAACGGCAGCCCTCGCTCTCGTGATGCATGCCTTTGGCGGCGCGCCACCTGGCAGCCACGCCTAGCACCCCACCACAATCTGCCATATGTCACCAGACTCACCGGTGACGCCCCCACCGCTGCCCCCCCTCCCCAGGTGGAGGCTCTGACGGACACCTTCATGGCGCGCCTGCGCACCTTCTACAGCGGAAGGCGGCTCACGCAGCTACTGTCCATGCTCGAGCGGTGCGCGCGCGGCGCGGTCCCGGCCCCGCCCCACCCCCAGGGCAGCCCAGCACCTCTGTCAAGCTCGGATGTTAGCAGTTTTAAATTGAGTTTATGTATTGGCAGCTCGCTCTGCACCTCTGGAGCGGTCGAGGCCTCTGGCGCTCTGTCAGCAAAGGCATGGCTGCTGCTTGCACTCAGGCCCCCCTTCCGTGTGTACCACCCTCCCCTCACGTCCCGGGCAAAAAAATCGCGTGACTGCAACACACACTCACACACACACACACACACACACACACACACACACACACGCTCAGACACACTCAGCCAAGCAACCGGACGCGCACACATACACACACTCCCTTTGTGCCCCGCAGCGTGGGCGAGAAGCCGACCGGCGACGCCGAGGCCCTGTCTTGGTACATCGCCCGCATCCTGCTGCTGTTTGCGCCAGAGGAGGGCGGCCTGCGGGACAGCCTGCTGCGCTGCACCTCCACTCTGCAGCGGCTGAGGGACGAGCACAGGATGCTGCAGGGGCGCATCGACGGCGCCGGCAGCTGCTCGGTCATGTGACGCGGCGCGGGCGTGGTGCCCATGCGCGGCGCCTCCCGCCTGTTTGTATTCCTCCAGCATCAGTGGGCGGGAGCCGGCGCGGCGCGAGCGCTGACGGTCTCTCTCCCCTTTTCTGCGATAGCTCAGCTATCTTGTGTGCGGGAGGCACTGCACCCTTAAGTGCAGTGCCCCCTGCACGTCCCCAATTGAGCAGGGCGAGCTTGTTGAGTTGCTTGTCGCTCGTCCGCACTGCCGGGCCCCAATATGTGCAGTCACGCGCGCACGAGCGAGAGAGAGAGGGCCGCTCAGTTGTAAGGGCGGTGGGCTGTCGCGTCGCGTCTTCTTCTGGCGTTGGGCACAGCCCTTTGTGAGTCCAGTTTGTCTCCCCTCTTTTAGGAGGACGCCTGCCTTTCGGCGCGGCCGTTCCCAAGTCATCCGCCTAGCCGGCTGACTTTTGACCCTCTCGATTGCAGGTGCGACTCCTCGCTTTGCGGGCAGCGGTCCAGGGCCGCCGGCCAGTGGGCCTTGCGCACCCATGTTCAGAGCGACGCTGCCCCTTCAATCACATGTACTGATATGGCATTCACCTTGTTGCTCTGCCCTAAGCTCTCCTGCCCCTAGTATTCAATGGCCCTGTCGGCACCAGCCAGTCGCGTTGCCGCGCTGGATGCACGCGGCGTGCTGCTCGAGCGCCTACGTGACCAGGCAAGGTGCCCGCCAGCAGGACAGCACTGGGCGCTTGAAGCGGCCCAAATCGCAGGCTGCCGCCGTCCTTGGGTGGGCCTGGGTGCGCTGATACTGTATATATACAGCCTGTTTGGCGGCTCGCTTCGACCCACACACCTGAGGGTGGGCGGGCAAGTTGTTCCTCACACCCCCCCCCCATCAGCACACATGCATATGCTAACAAGCCGATGAGCATTAGGTCACGCATATGCGTAATATCTGTAAACCTGTCTCTGCACGATGGCGTTGCGTTGTCGGGAGGCGCAGCGCTCCCACCGGCCTCGTGTGTTCCACCGGCCACCAGTGGTCGACAGCGGGGGGCGCCTACTCAAGTGGGGTCCAGCACCTCGCTCTGGTGGGCTCCGCCCACCTCCCACCCCTACCCATCCGCCAAGCGCCTTGTTCCTTGGTTACACGCACAGGCTGAGGCGCACAGCCAGACACCAGCGGCGGCGAGCCTCAGCTGAGGGCGGCTGAACGTAGCCCTCCAGCCTCTTGGGCCCGCACGCAAGACAAGCGGGGTAGCAGCAGCGCACACCGCACAAAGCTTATGCAGTCGCAAATGCCGGCATTGATAGCAAATCGCTGGCGTGGCGCTGTAGCAGCAGTGAGGGGGAAAGAAGGGGGTCCGAGTGATGGCACCAGGAGCCAAGGCCCTGTGCAGCGCGGCCGCGAGGTGCTTTGCCGGCCGTCCACGCCTACTTTTGGGCCGATCCGACCTTCAACACAATGAAATCGGGTCATTCTTGCCGGCCGAAGCAGGCCTGGGCGGGCATGCGCCCCACCACGCGAATGCAGGCGGGCGGGGAGGGCTGGGCAGGGCCGGATTGGTTCAGGGGCATGCGCGCCCCTGCAGAGGCGGCAAGCCATCATGTTGGTCATGTCGCATTCAAGTTGCAGGCTCAGCGGTTGCGCGATGCGACCACCAGGGCTGAACAAAGGGTCATTTATCATAGGGGATTCAGCAAACCGTAAGAAGCGCCAGAACATACCCCGTTTGCAAGCCGCCAGCAAGCACCATGCAGCCAACCTTACGCCGCATACGAACGTGCGGCGGCGCGCCCGCGGCCTGGGCGGTTCCCTGGACTTTGTTCAGGCGGGCGCGATCGCTGCACCGCGTGTTCGTTGGGCCGCAGTCCCACTGGACGGCCTGCCAGCTCCGCGGTGCCGGGGAGCTCCACCCTTGACGGGTTCCCAAAAGCCGTACCGCACGGGGCGGTGACTTGGCCGCGAAGGCAAGGCAACCCCCCCCCCCTGGCCGGGGCGGCGCGTCGCCGCGGCGGCGGCGGCGCAGGGCGCGGTCAGTCGGCGGCGATGCCGGCCGGCTGCTTGCCGAAGTCTGCGACGTCCTTCGCGTCGGATGCCTCCACAGGCAGGTGGCTCCCGGGCTCCTGGTAGTCCTGGGGGGGAGAATTTGAGGGTGCGGTTGGGTGGATGCGTGGGCTGCCGTTGTTACGGGTCCATCCCAGAGCGGTTGGGTTGCAAGGGGACGCCGGGTGCGAGAGCAAAGCGGGCGCGAGCGGAATTGAGATTGGTGCAGGAGCGGCGGTTTGACCGCTTGTGCAGACGTGCGCGCGCTCCAACCTCCCAGGGGACCCCGATCTGCGATCAGCAACGGCTTCACGCCTGGCATCACCTCAGCCGCACAAGCACAATTCGGGTTCGATCGCGCACCACTGCCCTCCCCCCCACCAGCAATGGCGCGCATGGGACCGGCATGCATATGCGCGTGTGGGCCTGCGACACACACACACACACACACACACACACACGCACGCACGCACGCACGCACACACGCACGCACACACACACACACACACACACATGCGCGCACACACACACACACACGCATACACACTCACACAATTCGGGCGCGCACCTCCCACAGGAAGATGTAGGCGCACGCCGTGATGATGGCCAGCACCCCAGACAGGAAGAGCGCCACGAAAGCCCAGGCCGCCATGTCGCCGACAAAGGCGTTGGCCGACCCCGTCGGGAAGCAGAACGGCGCCGTGAACAGCAGCAGCAGGAGCATCGCCCCAATGAAAACGGGGTTGAGCATCTTGTCGCGCTTCGCGCCGATGTCAAGCCGGTCGTACGCCTTGGATGCGGCCGCCGCGGCGTCGCCGAAGAGCGTCGGGCGCCACTGCAGCAGCAGCCCGAGGGCCACGGTCACGAAGAGGTTCACGCAGAAGCCGATCATGGCGGTCGACAGGCCGCAGGCGGTCGAGTCGAGGCCCTTGGACAGCCCCGTGTTGAGCGGCGAGAACACGAGCCCGATGGTCACGGCCAGCCCGGCGACCATGCCGGCCGCGGCCGCCTCGCCCCGCAGCCCCCGCCAGTGCAGCCCGAGCCAGACCGCCGGCGCGACGTGGATCGGCGTGACGTTCTGCAGCGAGAAGAGCGCCGAGAGGTTCGGGGTGCCGGTCTGGATGGTGAGCAGTCCGAGGGTGACGCCGATAGCGAGGCCGACGACGGAGGCGGCGCGGCCGAAGAAAAGGAGCTCCCTATGAGAGGCGTTGGGGCGCAGGTATGCCTTGTAGAAGTCGACAGTCCACCTGGCGGTCGGCGGTTGGCGGTTGAGGGGTCAAGGTTGGTCGATGACAGGGAATGGCTGGTGGCTGGCGGGGTGCTGGTTGCGAACGCAAACGTTCGGAACGCAGCAGGTGGGACGCGCAGTGGGCGGACGGGATGGCAAGCCACAATGTCATTGGCGGTGTATGTTGGATGGGGGAAAGGGGGCGATGCGAGGTCCTGTATAAAGGCCCTGGGAGGCCCCCTGCCCCGGCTCACATGACGCTGAACGAGAGGAGGGCGCTGTCAGCGGTGCTCATCATGGCGCACACCGCGGCCGCCAGCAGCAGGGCCTGTAAGGGGGGGG